GCGAGAGAGCGACGAGATGGTGCGGAGCGATGGGCAGGTGATCGGGCATGGGCGTAGAGTGTGGGGCGTACTTAGTTTTAAACTAATCGCTAATATTGTTTACTCTAGTTTTCAATTAACGAAAGCACTTTTTTCAAATATCGTAATTGCGAGCAACGAAAAAACTGTTTACGTTGGCTTTTAATGACTGATAATAATTACAAACATGGCTTACGTTTATCATAACGACGCCAATGTTTATCGTTCCTATTACTTTAGCTTTGTTACTGTGTTTAGCGGCGTTAATTGACACTTATAAACAAAACCAGTGAATTTCTTGCCACTTAAACCGTGTTTTCTGTAAATAAAATCAAATAAAATGTGTCCATGTAATTAATACCTGCGTCGGCTGCACCTGTATTTATTTAGTGCTTTCTAACGCACTAATTACGTTCAACAAATGACGGAGTCATTAAACTGTTTTTACCAATTCTGAAAATCAATAAGCGTTTGTGGCCTGCATTCGCGTTTTTAATAGCGCTATCGCCGCCCCCATAACCGCACAAGCGTAAAGATAAGTCATTGTTTCTTTGGTTTATAATATTACACCTTTATACTAGTTTGGTTACTATAGACTATGAATAATTCAGGTTACATAATTACCTTTGTTATCAGAATGTTAAATTTGTTTTTGTCGGGTAATGAATGAGTTGGAAATGCAAATTGCTGTCGTTATTTATGCATATTTACTAAAAATAGAAAGTTCGTGGTGTCTGCGTCTTTAAATAGATCTGATAACGTCAAAAGTGAGCTCTCTTTTTTATTGAGTTCTGTTTTCTGGCTGTTTGATTTTGAGATGTCAATGATCATGGACAAGGATGAATACTAATAAATTCGTTTTTTTTTTGTATTCTAATAGAGAAACAAGGTGCTGCCATTGAGATTTAACCTATAGGTATATCGTTTAGGATAGATAATTTAATTTAAGAAATATTTAAAAACTTTAATTTGTTGTAACAAAGTAATTTTCCAAATTTTAAATTTATAAATACCAATAAATGTGGCAAATTAGCCTCAAGTAAACCGTTTGTCTATGAATCAGTTTATCCAACTTGAAGAAAACATTTCATGGCTCACCCTTGTGTAAAAATATCCTGTACGATTTATACCGGGTGTCTGGAAAATGGCGGATTAACTCTTCAGTACGTTATGTACGGGGGTTTCGGAAGTCCCAAAAAAAACAAGATAAAACTGATTTTGGCAAATCACATACCTTCCAAAAAAGAGAGGGTGGGTGGGCGGGGCTAGTACCTGCTAAGATAAAACTGATTTTGGCAAATGACATTCCTTCCAAAAAAGAGAGGGTGGGTGGGCGGGGCTAGTTCTTGCTAAAATAAGATCGATTTTGGCAAATGAAATATCCTCTAAAGAGAGGGCAGGCAAAATTTCTATAATAAAAAAGATAAAAAACAATAAAATTCCAATTCCAATACCAGATAAGCTTATTTATTTTCAAATGAAGGGCGCAGGGAAATATCCATCGAAATCCATTTGTATGTATTCCGAAAGAAATTGAGTTAAAAGTTTAAAATGCTGCGGAAAATAGATTGAGAAACCCACAAGTTTCAGTCTAACACAACTTTTTATTTTCTTTATAATGTTTTAAAAATATATAAAATAAACTGTTTATGTTCAAATATAACAGCAAAAAAAATTTGTGGAAAGTTGTTTCGACAGAACTTCCCTCGCACCTAAAATATAATGAAACATATCCAGCATTTTCGAGTTAAATTTTTACTTTAGGTGCGCAATTTTGTGATGAAATTATCAACATTTTGCAAGGACACGTAAATCAATGTGGATTAGACTAAAATAACAGTTTTCCCAAAATTTCTGGGAAAATGGAGCGAGTCGTTCCTGATTTAATCAATAGAATAAATTGACTCATTCATTAATTTTTTTGAGCCACCTAGGTATATAAACAAATCTAAAAAATATGAATGCAGTGATAAATTACAAGTAAAAACTCATCATATTTTGCACATTTTTAGTAGAATTTATTCGGCAAAATTTTGAGATGACGTTATCAATTTTTTAGTAGCATAATCATGAACTTGTGGTTTATAAATACATTATTGAGATTTTTCGGCTTTTCGGTTTTTCGATTTTTCAACTTTTGATGTTTCAATTTTTCAATATTTCAATTTTTGACATTTTCAATTTTTCCATTCTTGAAATTTTCGATTTTTCCATTTTTTTATTTTTCGATTTCTCAATCGTCCGATGTTTCAATGACACGATTTCGCAATTTTTCAACTTTTCGATATTTTAATTTTTCAATTTTTAAAATTCTAGATTTTTCGATTTCTCGAGTTTTCAGTTCTTCTATGCATAATTCAGTTTTTCAATTTTCGGAATTCATTAAATTTGTGATGTTCCATTTTTTTTTTAATTTTTCGATTTTCCAGTTTTTCGATGTTTCGATTTTTCAATTATACGATTGTTCAATTTCTCGATTTCTAAATTTTAGATTTTCCAATTTTATTTTTTCATGTTTGGACTATTTATTATTGCTAAAAATAAAAGTAAAAAATAACTACCAAAATTGTGACTAAAAATATGTAAAAATTAATAGAAAATAAAACACAATGCTGCTAAAACATAAAAATAACTGTACTTTCCCAGAAAAATATATTGCATTATTACTGTTCCACTAGTATTGCTAATTTAGGACGTTCGTATCAAACGCAATGAATGAATTAATTCTTAGTTAAACAAAAAAATAGTTGCGTGTCAAAATCGAGTGAAACATGTGAGAGTGTGTAAACAAAAGCATCTAAATAATAACTATTTCCCGCAGAATTTCTGGAGGCTTATAGAGTCGACATTGGCCTGAGCGCGCTCCGGTCTGTGGATCATACAAGTTTGCGGGCGACGATATATCTAACGAGGCAGTTGAAATACCTGATATGTCACAGCGCAAAAAGTATTTCTCAAAAAACTTTCAAACGTCGATGTCTTTTTAATCGAACAAAACACAATTGGCGCAATAATCCAGAATGGTGCGCTGAAAAATCCTTTAGACTAAACGAACATTATTTTGGTGAAATTTGTAAAATGAGAGAACAAGTAACACGGCTAATCCTACTGTACTGTGAAAAACATTTTACATCTCTGCAAATCTAGTTCAGCATGTACTCTCCCAAAATCTTTGCATAGAAAATGAAGCAACTGAAGCATTTTGCAGTAACACCAAACTGACAAAAAGACAATGCGGTTTGTACATTTTTAGCGGCATCCCCAGACGGCTTAATAAACAAAAACGCTATCGTAGAAATATATAAAATGTCCAATTTAAATAATGCTTAATTCGACGAGACGATAAATTTTGGGAAAATAATATGATAGAACCCTAGAAAAATTTTATTTATATGCCTTACTTCCGGAGAGAGTAGATTCTCGTTATTAAATAAGTCAACCCATTAGACAAATTGTAAAGAAAAAATTGTACAATTAAAATTTTTTATTTGCATTCGCGTCATGTGTAGTTCATATAAATTTTTTGCCCTTCTAGTATAAACACACACAGGAATAAATAGTAATATTGGAATCGGTTTACTGGAGATATCACGTAAAAAACGTGCCTATAATACTTTACCTCATAGGTGGTGCGGAAAAGAGTATCAAAAAATTAAATTAAAATAAATATGATTGTTCAGGTAAATAAGTGGTTAGTGAAGTGATGAGAATCTAAATCTTGTCAATTTTGTGTATTGATTAATATATAAAATGGCAGATTAATAAAAAATATTTGAATCATTTTTTGAAAGAAAATATTTTAGTAGAATGTATAAAATTATAAAAAATTGCATACTTTTAAATCAAATTATGTCAGCAATTAAAAAGTCGACTTGTAAAAGAGTTTCAACAATGTTGGTCAGCTAAGAGTATTTATGAATGTTATGACCTAAAGTACCTGAACTGATTACCTGAAAGGGTCGGTCGGCAAAGCTCCCTGCTGTGTAAAACTCAGCCATTTATTGAAACGGATCTTTGTAAATAGGGTTGCCTAGTTTCACTTAATTTTCATTATTCAATATTTTTTAAAAAATATTGTGTCTTCCCCAGAGATTTAGACATAATCTATCTATTGAAATATTAAAAACTGTTCAATCAACCCATTCAATTTTTTCTTCAAATTCCAATTTCTAGGTAAAGACTGCTTTACAACGGAAATAATAATCAATGGTACAAATCAGGCGATCTTGGAGGCCATCTTATTGGGCCTCTATTCCCCATCCAACGATCTTGAACCATTTCTGTTTAAAAAATATGCACATTTTTTTTTGCAGGATGTCTACGCTGAAATTCAAATTTATTAGCGTAAACTTTTTTAAAAATGTCAAAGTTAACGTAAATTGTCAAAATAACGTTATTGACATTTTTAACAATATCGTAGCCAACCGAGACCCCGTAAATTTTTATTTAAACCACTCTAACCCACAAACACAACAAAAACGAAGTACACACACACACTGAACCTAAACCCATTACCGCACCCATCCCAACTTCCAAAAAAAGCCCGCCGCAACTCCACTCGCCCATTAAAAATCGCCACCGTTTCAAACAAACATGATCGTGTGGTCATATGAATGACGCTTTGATGTCATGCCTGGCATGGGCTTGCACAGGGCCCCTCCCCATCTCTACGCCCACTTCTGGCTGACCCCAGCAACATAATTACACACCTGTACGCGGTCATCATCGCTGGAGACTAAGAGCTAAGGCCACCGCTGTCGGATTAAAAGGCGCCATGTTAATGGGTTTAATGGGTTTGCTGTTATCTGCGCTCGCCCGATAAGCCGACAAGAAGAATGAGCGTAAGGTGTTGGTTTTGATAAGGCTTTTTATTGCTGGGAGCCGTGATAACGGGCGCGTGACGTGTTGCCACGACTAATTACGTATAATAATAATAATAATAATAATAATAATAATAATAACAACGCGCTTCTTGCTTGCAGATCCAGATGGCTCACGTCAAAATGAGGAAGATCCTCGTCAGGGACATGAACGACGTGTTGGTATGCACGTTGTGCAACGGCTACTTGATCGAGGCGACCACGTTGACGGAGTGCCACCATGTTTGTAAGTCACCGCGTATATAATTCTAGGGAGATTGTTTCAAGACTATCGGGTTTATAGTTTGCAGAGGGTGTATTTTGAGGTACTTTGAAAACTGCAAGACGTCGTGTCCGTCGTGCAACTTCGTCTACAAGAAGAAGAACCAGGTGTTCTTCAAGGCGGATCCTCAAGTGCAAGCTATCGTGTACAAGGTGGTGCCGGGGCTCTACTCCAAGGAGATGCAGAGGCGGGAGGACTTTTATCGGAGTACGGGGGTGAGGGCGAGTAGTTCGTGCAGTGATGACAGTGTTCTGGAGAGGGAAAGGGATCTGATCAACGATGAGGAGTCCATGGTGAGTTTTAATTTCGCGTATTTATTTATTGTTTAGCGACCCTGTATATGCAAGTAAGACTGAGAAGGTATTTATCAGTGGAAAATTGTTATAAAATGTGTACGAGTGATGTAAGAAATAGCTGAAACAACGTTAAATGTGGTGGTGTTTTTATCGCTGATGATGACGCTTAAATGACACTGAAAGATATGGAACACATGGTAGACGCGCTTTTGGAATCGAAATAATAGTTTTTACTTTGAGGAAGATTTATTTGAGAATAAATTAACAACGAAGCGACTTTGTTGGAACAATTGTCTTGTAATTTATTATGGAGATATATTTTTTCCATACGTACTATCCAGAGGCGGGTCTAGACTGTTGGGGGCCTGATGCTATTATTTAATTGTTAGTTAGAAGCTTTTAATTTACACATTTTCAATACTTTAATATAAAAGAACATTAACAAAAAATACAAAAATAAAATATAATAAACAAACAGAAACAAATTATATAACAATTTTCTTTCTGCACTTGATGTCAGCATACGTTCGTATGGTGCTGTCATACGTAATTGACCTTGTGATGTCATTCTCAATTGCAAGAATCGGCAAAGAACTTAGTCTGTCGTTTTTCATTGTCGATCTGTATTTATTTTTAATAACATTCAGTTTAGAAAAAGCTCTTTCAGCTTCACAACTGGTCACTGGCAGTGTCAAGAAGATCTTAACTACTGTGTACAGATTCGGGAAAATGTCAATGAGATTTTTTTTCAAAATGCAGTCGAGTATATCTGAACATGTTACAGTACGTTTCTGAGCTAAGTCAGCAGAAATTTTTAAATATTTCTTAAATTGTAAACATTCATTCTTCAATCTGAATTCGATGCCCTCATTGTCATACTGTAAAACACAGTCAACGCTGCCTTCGTCAATATGTGCTACATGTTTGTTTGTAAGGCCCGTTACGAATTTGAATTTCTTCCCTAATTCATTATATACATATTTTCTTCTGGTGAGTTCGGTTATTAAAGTGTCCAACAATCGATTAAGAACTTCCACGAGAAATTTCTCACGATCTTGTAGTGGACTAGTCCCTGTTTGCCGTCCGAATATTTGTAAATTTTAATCCTATTCTTCGCATTACTATGATTTTCTTCCACTTTACTGCTAAACCTCTTCGCTCGCAATTCATAGTTAATTAATTTCTCTTTAGATTTTTCTCTAAGAGATTTGATAAATATTTCTAAAGATGTTATTAGTGCTACTCCTTCGCATAAATCTAATCCAGGTTCTTGTAACTCTTTACTGACTTTGTTAATCCTTTCAAGAAGTTCTTCCCAGACGACAGTCAATATAGCGATTTCGAGTTTGTATAGCTTACCTAATATTTTTTTCGCTTCCATCTTGCAGTCACTTTTTTCTAAATTATCATTAATAATAGTTTCTAATATGGTTACAATTAAGTTATAACTTGTTTTTAACGCGTGAACAGCGTCGTATCGACTAGACCATCTAGTTTGAGTCAAACCTTTAACTGAAAGTGGCAGTTTTGCATGTTGATTTAACAAATTCCACCGGTGAGGTGAAGCCGAAAAAAACACGTACAGTTGTTGTACAACCCCAAAGTAACTGATTACATCGGGTACGACACTTGCAGCTTCGATTCCTACCAAATTTAAAGAGTGAGCTGCACATGGTACATAATCCGCGAACTTGTTAATTTCCTTAACACGTGTTTGAAGTCCATTATATTTTCCACTCATATTCGCAGCATTGTCATAAGACTGTCCCCGACAATTTTTCATTGAAAGACCATTTTCTTCTAAAAAAAAAAAATCTTTCAAAAACTTTTTCTTGGGAAGTGTATCTCAAAATAACTGCCAGTTGGTCCGTATGTGACAAATCTGGAGTAGAATTCACAATAATTGAATAATATTTTGTATCTGCATCGTTTATGTCCTCAATAATTTTTTTTCTTACTTGAGTTACCATTATGTCGATTATCTCTTCTTCGTTTTAGACAAGTAACTTGCAACTAGTTGTTCGGCTTGGAATTTCACTATATGTTGTTTCAAAAAAGGATCAAATTCCGCAATAAGTTCCATAAGTCCCATAAAATTTCCATTATGTGATGAACCCCATTTTTCATCATGTCCTCTAAATGACAATCCTCTTTCACTTAAAAATGTAATAACTGCTATAACTCGCATCAGGACATTGTAATAATAATCACAAGTCATTTTTTATTTTTTCCTGAAGATGCCTGTCAACAACGTTTTTGTTTTCTTTGCGGGATAACCAGGTTAACAGCGCCTTTTTGTGATCCTGAAATTCTTCATTACTGTCCAAAGTACGAACTATGTTTGCCCAATCGGAATCACCACTCATTAAAGATGTTTGTGTTCTGGAGAATAATTTGCACACTAAACAGAAAACACATCCTTTACTTTTCGAATAGGATAACCAAGATCTCGTTAATTATTGCCCATTTTTTAAACGTTTCAGAAAATATTTGTTTGTAAATTGTCTGCTCTGTACCTGATAATTCCTGATAGACTCAGAGTAAATATTGTCTTCCTTTTTATTTTGAAAAAACGAGCTTTCTTTTGATAGGCAACTTCCGATAAAATTTTCATTGATAAAATTCGGCCATAATGCTATATCTTTAAATTTATCGTTAAATATATCACTTACGATTTGTTTAGCCTCATCTTTAATCATGTTTTCATCGACTGTATCGGTGACGGTGGTAGCGTAGTTGTGCATGAAGTTCCAGCAGAATTTTTCACACTTTTCAAAATAACTTCATTTTCACCAATTGAGTTATTTCAAGTGAAAGTAGAAGGTTGAGGTGTAAAAAAACTTGTTTCCTCTTTTGGCTTCCACTGAGATATTTGCGCTCAGACATTTTATTTAATCAAATAAATAAAAAATTAGAAACAAATTTTATTTTTCTTTACATTTAAGCCGAAGGGGGTCCTTTACCTTCGGGGGCCTGATGATCTAGCATCACAAGCATCCCTATAGATCCGCTTCTCGTACTATCGCTCGCAAAAGGATTGTCGGTACCCAGCAGAGAGATATTAGGCTTTTGTTCTATATACTATGATGAATAAAAGCGGTATTTAGGCTAAAAAAAACAAAATGTCTTCCCTGCTATAAATAACAGTCAATCTGTCGTTTATTTGGTTTAAGGATTATATCACAATATTCTTTAAGAATAATTTTATTATTTTCGGATATGTCATTTATTTTACGCCGCTTTGATAGGAAAGGTTCACCGTCATTAGCCATTTCCATTTTTTTACTTAAAATGTCAATTTTATTTTCTCTAATAAGTTAGTGTAATCTGCTTCTCAAAATCTTTTAAACATTTTTGAACATATAAGCTGTTAGCCCCTCGAACTTGCGTTTAGTTGAAAAGTACATCCACATGTGGTGCAATATAATGAATTCTTTCTAAGAAAAAAATTAAAATTTTGAATCATTTTCTGTAATTATAATTTGTTCTAAGCACTCGTGGATCAATCCTTTCTTTTCGTATACTGTATTGATGATTCTTGTTTTAAAATTCCATCTTGTTGGAGTTGCTTTGGGAAGTCTCTTCTTTACTATTTCATCCAAAATTGCCGTTCGTTTTGTGGATCTAGAAAAAAATGCAGCAAAAGATTGCACTTCAGCAAAAAATATTTTCAATTTTTGTTACAAACAGCTGCTCTTTCCAACAATAAATTGAACTGATGAGAAGCGGATTTCTAGGTTTAATGCTTTTTGTGAAAAATGTAAGCACTTCAAAACTTTTTTATAGCTGTAACTATGATACAATTTGGAGTCATTTGACACATTTTTTTAATGCTTATTTGCTTTTTCTTCAATTTTATGCATATTAAAACTTATATGCTTATTTAATGCTTTTTTCGACGAATATGAGTTTTAATGCATACTTTGTTCAAATGCCGGCCTTGTCGGGTTGACAAATACTTGTTAGTTAGCCGTATCGTATCGTATGCATTTTACCTGGACTTGACCATTGAAGTACACTTACTCAAGACCCTTTCTGTGAATAGCTTCCAGTCGTTTGGGTAATAAAATTTTATTATAGGATTGGAAAAATACTCTATAGATTTAATGACTTTAAATCCTAACTTCTGTTGAAAATGAATTAAAGCTTTTAACCAGATGTTCTTTTTCGGCATTTTGCGGCAAGACCGTTGAAGATTTATTAGAAAAAAGGATTATTGTACCCAACTACCTACCTTAAAATTTTTCTAATGGAAACTTTTAAGTCAATGAACCGTTTATTTCACAACCATCAGTCTCTCGCATCTGTCGTAATACAGTGTTATACGTGGTTCTTCCTTGTTACATGTTGAGTTCTTTTTGGTAATATTACTAATATTTTAAAAGAATGCCGAAAGTAAAATCGACGCCGGATGAGTGGATGAGGGATTTTCTAGAAATAAAATTAGAAAACAACAAAATATTCTGCAGAGCTTGTGTGAAAACCAAGCCCACTATTTTTTTTTTATCTATTTTTCCTTGTTAATCCTGTATATGTACGTTGTTTTACATTCAAAGTGATAAAAAATATAACGTGACGCAACATGTCAGAACGACTCTTCATGTAGAAAGGAAGAAAATGTTTGAAGTTTCTAAAATTAAACAGCAGACCATACATGAATCTGTTGCATCTACTTCCACAAAAGATGAGCAGTTTCAGTTTAATTTCGATTTATGTAAAATGATGATCCAGTCCAATATACCTTTAAAAAAATTGGAGAAATGCCCTCTTCAAGAATTCCTTGAAAAACACTGCAATCGACATATTCCGGTTGAAAGTAGGTACTCTCCGAAAAAATTATGTAGGCCCAGTGTTTCAGCAAGTTTACAACGAAATTAAACATCGCATTGGAGATAATTATTTATGGTTCGCTGTCGATGAAACCACCGATAGTTGTGGAAGATACGTGGCAAGTGTAATTGTTGGAATCTTAAATGAAAATTTCCCTAGTCGAGGATATGTAGTAAGTTTGAAAATGTTAGATAAAACAAATGGCAATACGATTACCAGATTTGTAAATGACAGTCTTACGTCACTATTTTTGCCAAATGCCGTACTGACGAATAAAATTTTATTGATGATCTCGGATGCAGCTCGTTATATGTTGAAAGTAGGCAATAATCTAAAAATATTGTACCTCAATTTAATTCACTCTACTTGCATTGTCCATGGTTGAAACAGAGTGGCTGAAGGAATACGTTTGCAATTTCCTACTGTTAATAAATTAGTGGCAAATGGTAAAAAGATTTTCGTTAAAGCTTCACTAAGAATGCAACAATTTAAGGAAAAATTTCCAACCATACCATTGCCTCCAGAGCCGATTATAACGAGGTGGGGAACATGGTTACAGGCCACATTTTATTATGACAAATATATCAAAGAATTTGAGGAAGTAGTTACGGAGTTTAGCGAAGATTCTTCTCAATGGATTAAAGATTGCATAAATATTTTGGAAAACAAAGATTTGCGACAAGATCTAGCTTGTCTAAGAAGCAATTATCAATTCGTATGTGAGGTAATAGAAAAGTTAGAAAAACCCAACATTTTGTTGGTAGATGCCATAAACTTAGTGAAAGAATTTAAACAACAAGCAAACGCAGTAAGGGGTGATATTGGTACTAGAGTATCTCAAAAACTTGACGAAATGTTAAATAAAAATTGAGATTTCGGTGTTCTTTCCGACGTTGCTCGTGTTTTACAAGGCCAGAAGGTGGAAAATTAGGAGTTAGATTGAACATTAGTTGCAAAATTCAAATTTGCGCCAACGAGTGTGGATGTTGAACGCACATTCTCCAATTTTAAACACATTTTAAATGATCGGCGAAAAAATTTTACAGTGGATAACTTGGAACATATTACAATTATAAATTGTTTTAAAGAAAACTGAAATGTGTAAAATATAAAGTCTAGGATTATTGTGATAATATTTTATCCAAAGTTCTAAGAAGTGTTCTTTGATTTGTAATATGATTATGTTTTTAATGCTTTTTTGCTTAAAATAAAACTTTTTTATTGAAAATGTTGTGCTTATTTAAGCGCTTATTCTTAATTTTTTTTGTGCTTACCGAGAAGGTTGTAATCCACTAAATGATGCAAATGACTCGCACTTCTTTCAAGTTTTGTTGCTCTTTCCTTTAAGTGTCGCAGATCATCCACGCCAGTATTAATCCAGGGCGATGGTTTTAACTCATTACTGAGGAGCCACACAAAACAAAACAATTTATTATAATTTTTTCACAACCGCAAATCCTGGAATATTTATAATTCGTGTTACACCTATTAAAATATCCATGAAAGTCTCTTCTTTTTAATAAATCGAGATTTTTATTTAAAATCAAACAATCTCACTCGCGCAGAATGAAAATTAAAACCCGCAATTGAGTTACTGCTGGTGGGCACTGTCGAAACAGGACCCGATTCCAGCTGAATACCGCGACTAGACGCACGGTTTCCATGGCGACGGTGCAAACAAAACGTCTAAATCAGCCATGGTTTGGTCGCCGTTTCCACTTTTATCAGCACTTCATCAGCAATAACGTATCATATATCCAAGACACAACTTCTTTGGATGTTAGTTTTGAGTCGACGAACGCAAATACACACACACATATTAGCAGTTCACGATCTTTATATAGTAGGCTTGGTCATGAAAATCTAGTGAGTTTGTTGGTTTCGATGCAGAAGAATAAAAATTCCCTGAACTTTTTTCGTTAGGTTATGTTTTATTAAATTAAAGGTTAAAAAATATGCCAGAAATATAATAAACATTGTTGCCGATACTTTCAGTTTTTAGTAGCAATGACAAAGTTAACGGTATCCACTTCTTAGAAAGCATAAAACTTTACGCTATTTAAAACAGTTATTCGGCTTTTTGTAAGTGTTTATTTCTTATGTAAGGAACAAACACTAAAATTTCACTTAAACATTATTTTTATTTGAATGGGGATTCTACATACGACTATTGTCGCATGCCACATTTAGCATCTCGTCTTTAATTCTCAATCATCAGTTCGTTCTGCTCGCCGACTCTTCTTAGAAATGGAAATTTCGACCTTTGTGAATAGCCTATTTCTATATCTTCCAACTTCTTTTTTCACTTTTCTAAGATTACTAAAAGGGTTGGTAAAAGACAACAACCTTGCTCTAGTGCTTTGATGGGTTTAGGTCTTCTGAAACATTTTTCCGGCCTTAAATTGAACGATTTATCTATACCTATAGCTATTACTAATGCTTACGTAAGTGCTCTTTATTTGCTTTTCCTAAGTACTTCCAAACGCTTATTAACAAGAACGTTACTATACACCTTCTCCAGGTCCATGAAGAGTTAAAAAAAAAATGAAAATGCTTAAAATTTGGTGCAAAGTAACAACGGGGATGATCTAACTAAAATTATACTTATTTTGTTGTACGTCAGGTAGTTTTTCACATACAACCTTGGTAAATTTAGAACGAAAGATGCGTAAAAATATCACCCCCCGACAAGCTACAATTCACTCCATTTCCTTTATTTCGCTGTGAAAATCTGTATCATCACCGTCATTTTCAAATTCAGATTCTGAATCTGATTCACCTAGCGAAATAATGAAAGGAGGTATAGATTCGTACGAAAGATTTTCCATATTTTTTCCCAATCTGCCAAAATAAGTTTTTCACAATGTTTACAAAAATTTTGCCGCATGCTTGGACTACATTTAGAAAGCGCCTCAAGCCATAATTCTCCACCCTATTTTTTAATGAAGGTTGAGAATTTATATGCTTGTTGTAATAGTTCTTACAAAATCCCCACGCCATTTCAATTGGTTTATATTGACAATGGTACGGAGGTAATCTAAGAACTTCATGGCCACTTTCTCTTAATGTCTCGTCTACCAAATATCTTTTTTTATATTGTTTCTGAAGGGTTTAATTAAATCCCCCAGAACCCCGTTGAACAACTCGCGTGGAGAATAATAAACCTTGATCCTTCACTTTTAATTTTGGTGGGATTGCTTTTTAGACACTATCGTGCACCCAGCGACGAATGGACGAACCATTTTGATAGATCCATGTTTCATCCAAATACACGAAAGTCAAATTTTTCACAAGAATTTAGAAACTGTAAATATGTTCTCAAAAAAGTAATTTTGGCTGCAACGACATGTTTTTGTTCACATAGAATTTAGCGACCATTTACTTCCCTGTGTTTATAACCCATTGACTTAAGAATTTTGTATAATGTGGTTCGCCCCCCTTTAAATTCCAACTGTTCCTTAGAATATGCCAAAAGAGTATCTACAGTGAAATATTCGTTTTTTTCATTAAGTTGCCAAATTTGTCGTTGCAGGTCTTTTCAAAACATATAATTTGTAAATATATCCGTTGGTTTTCGCTTGCCAGATAGTGATGTTTTTAAATTTTGGTCCCCTGTTGATTAAATTTTCGCCACAGTTGATGTTCCCACCTATGAGAAAAAAATTAAAAAATATTTTACAGCGTATTTTTAAATTACAGAAAATATATTCGAGACCCTCATAGTTACTTTTTACTGCAATTTTATGTTGGAGTAAAACTATTTTAGGCATTTTCTTTTTAAATAATGTCGCAATGATCTGTGAATTTGTCACAACGACAAATTATCTATGCTGACAAAATTAAAACATTTGTTTGCTCGATTAAAAAAATGCGTCTAAAAATTCTGATCTAATAAATGAAGTAAAAAAGTGGCAATCCAGCTCAAAGCAAATGTCAGTCAGATTACTGACAGACAAATCAGTTTATCCAACTTAAAGAAAAAATATCAAAGCCTACTTTACTATATAAAGATCGTGAATGGATAATACAAATTTTTAATAAGTACCCACATTAAACTCGTCGGCAATGCTAAACACGTCGATAGGGCTAATTGCGTAAAACATCCAGTTAATATGAAATATCAATAACTGTGCTGATTTGATGAATCTATTTACTAATAGCGTGTTGAATTTTTCGTTAAACTTAATACGTGCCACATGGCTGATTATTCCCAATATGCATTATGGGATAACACTCAGATGTGGATTTCCATGTCAATCCGGCTTATTCCAATGCCAATAACACACAGTGTGTGCGTGTGTGTTTGTATACGTGCTTCGACGATAAACCAAACACTGCAGACAGTTACGCACATTTTTAAATAATCACACACACTGGAAAATATGAGTTAAAAAGCCGCTGCCAGTTATACAGGGTGTTTCTCAAATACTCAAAAACCAAAATCAAACATGATTTTAAATTTCCAGGTTTCGTCATACGTCGGCGACAAGAGCCAGTTCTTCGGCCCCGAAGACTCCATCTCCCTCTCCCTCGAGTACTACCAGGTCCACCTCGACAGCACCCCCCTCGACACCAAACCCAGGCCGGCTCCAGCGGCCCCGAATCCGGCGGAGGTGCAAGACACCAGTGCCAGTGTTCTGAACAACAATAACAGCGACTCTGTGGGTGACAAACACAGACCGAAAGACGCGAAAAGTGATAAAGACGGTGAGCAAGAGTGCAAAAGTGATAAGAGATTCCTCCAGTGTCCCGCCGCCGTGTCGATGCGCCACCTCCAGAAGTTCATCCGGATGAAGTTCGCCCTCACGCAGCACCACAAGGTTCGTTTGTATCCTCGTTCCGTTTTTTCCGCGATCTTTCCGTCTTTGTTGGCTTTATTTCGCCGAAGCGACAAAGCGTTTAGAAATCGAAATCAGCGCTTTTCGCGCGCCGTTACACACAAACAAAGCCTGCTTAGATGCCGGCATTCAATTACGTTTCGTTTTGCTATTCTTATAATGGGATAATACCGGGTGATTGTGGTGGGATGATGATAAGGAGTGCGTTAAAGGTGTTTTTTTTTAAGAGGATTGGTTCATGGAGTTGTAATGCTAGTAATTTGGCTTTGTTCGTGTTTTATTGTCGTTTTATTGCACTGTGGCATGTTTGGCGCACTTTGTACACTTGAGTGCAATGAAAAGTGACGATTTCTTATCGAATTCCGAGCTTTATAGTGTGCGTCGGGATTTTAAATACGCCACCTGTTGATCCGTTTGGTGTGTGCTATCGAAGAATCTAGCGAAATCTGTGTCTATCACTCGCACCCACAGAGTAATAACTAATAATAAATGTACTAAGATAAGCGATAATTTGTGATTGAAAAAAAAAGTGACTCGTGTGAGGTGCTGATATGTAAATGGAAGTATGATAAGTCAAAAAAACTGTTTTATTGGTTGAACTATTGTAGAAACGAAAAGTAATTGAGTGACGATGACAGTTTGCCTTAATTAATTATGGGAGTTAATTAAGTTTATGGCTAATTTGCTGAGAATCATCTACAATTCTAATTAGAATTAATTCGGTCTTTCGCACTTTTATTAACACTTAAAAATTTGTATATAAGTATACCGGATGTTTTGAGTATGATGAAACGTAGATATTTAGTAAAGTTAGTATATGTAAAAAAACATGGCAAGACGGTTCACCACAAACAACCGTCTTTTGTTCTAATGGATTATGCAACTTACCACAATATATTGTACTCCCAGTTTAAACTGGTTTTTATGACAAGATAATAAACATTATCACCTCATTATTACCCCACGACGGACAATATGAGTTGAATAACAAAGTACGACCCTGCAAGAAACCGACCAGTTTTAGAGATTTACTCCATTGTCCGTCTCCATCATCAACTTCGACACAATGGACCTATCATAAAAACCACTTTACTCTGGGAAGGCAATACTTATGGTGTTTATCTTAGTTCTGATAAGTGTACCATGGTTATATTTCTGCATTATGTGTAGGAATAAATTCCTCGAAAGAGTTGGACAAAGAAAAAAATGATGGCATGGATAAACACAAAAAAGATTATCCTGAAAAAGCCATAAAAGATCAGATTTGGAATATAGTGCGCAATAGACTACCCGAAAAATTGTATCAGTTAGATCATTATGCTCAAGAACATGGAGATTGTGTTGTAAGACTTCCGCCATACCACTGTCATTTTAATTCAAAGTGAAATGGTACCGTCAAAATGGGAAAATGTAATAAACCAAGTTCCCTAAATTCACAGGGAACATTATCTAATTAAAGAATAATAAACGTATAATTATTCAATTCATTTTGAACTTCTGCAATTTGCATTGAGATGTTACCATAATATACAAGAAAGCACATACTTTTGGTCACTAAAAAAACGTTACAGTGTTTTGAATAGGAGTATTTGCACGACTTTCTAAATAAACAGAATTTGTCTGTTTTAATATTCAATCCAATTTCTCCGGCTTCTTCCCGTTTCAAAGTCAAAGATGATGTTTTCAAAACAGACAACGAAAAGTAGAGGATGAAAAATACACGTAAGTTGATAGATCTATTCCAAAAAAAATTAGTCTATATATTGCATCCCGCTGCATCGTTTAGCACAAGATTTATAGAATGACTTAACCATGGCAAAAAGTGCCCTGTGATTCAAATATAAAACAAATTTCTGCACTCCATTATGCTTTCCATTCATATTCGCTCCAGTGTCATATTCTTGTCTTCTACAGTTTGTTTAAGTCAAGACTAAGTCCATTCAGCTCTTGAAGTACTTAGTACTTCTTTCAAAACTTTGAGAGGAAAAATTTTACAAAATCTGAACATATCTTACAATGACTGAAAGGTGTTCCCTAATTAGGGGCTCATAAAGTCCAAATAATTCCTCAGTTTTTAACAGTGCATCATTATTTGAAATATTGATTTTATCTGAACTTAGTTTTTTTTAGAGAATGTGAATAAAATTCAGTGGTGTGCCGTTGGTGGGTAAATATAGGGGGGAGTCCGGGAGACTTGAACCGCTTTTTATTTAAAATAGCATATTCTCTTATAAATAGGATGTAAAGATTCGATTATAATTTCAAGCGTTAGCTTATTTATTTAGACATACTTTTGTTTCGTTTCTCCCTTACCATTAGGAACACTCGAATCGGGGTCTGGGGAGAGTTGACCACTGTTTTTACAGAAGAAAATAAAAACATTTTAAATCTTGAATCACAAATGTATTAACTTAAGCATCACAAAATGGGACTACTATTATATAAAAACACAAAGTTATTGTATTTCTTATACCGGGCGTCTGGAAAATGGCTCATTAACTCTCCGCTACGCTCTCTTTTCTTAGAGGGTATATCATTTGCCAAAATCAGTCTTCTTTTAGTTAGTAACTGCTAAGATAAAACTGATTTTGGCTAGTAAGATGCCTTGCAAGAAAAAAGAGGGTGGGTGGGCGGGATTAGTACCTGCGAAAATAAAATCGTTTTTGGCAAATCGCATACCCTCTAAGAAAAGAGAGGGTGGGTGGGCGGGGCTAGTATTTGCTAAGATATAACTGATTTTAATAGGCACTAGCCCCGCCCATCCACCCTCTCTTTTCTTAGAAGGTATCTCATTAGCCAAAATCAGTCTTATTTTAGCAGGTACTAACCGCGCCTACCCATCCTCTCTGTTGTTAGAGGGTATGTCATTTTCCAAAATCGATCTTAGATTGGCAGGCATTCACCCCGCCCACCCGCCCTCTCTTCTGTTAGACGGTATTTCATTTGTCAAAATCAGTCTTTGGGTAGCTACTAGCCCCATCTACCCGCCCTCTCTTTTCTTAGAGGGTATTGCATTTGCCAAAACCAGTCTTATCTTGTCAAATACTAGCCCCGCCCACCCACCCTCTCTTTTCTTAGGAGGGTTGTCATTGCCAAAATCAGTTTTATCTTAGCAAGTACTGATGAATAACTTTTAAAAAATGATCAAAATTTGGAAACATTACGAGCTTACTTACAAATATATGCACAAGGCAGGAATTTTAACACTTTTCTGTAGTGTTTAGTTGGTTATGCTTTAATGGATTTTTTTTTGTTGGTTTTGTTTTTATTTATAATTTAAAAATGTCTTATGAACATTTTATTTTGGTTTATTTATTAATGAAAAAAAAATAGTTTGTTTTATTAATAATAATGTACAACGATTAATTACTAGTGGTTGTCATGGTTATTGTCCTAAAAAAAATAAAAGGGTTACTAAAAAATTTGAAATTAAACCGGATGGAATGGTATAATACATATTACGGTTTTTTTTCGTAATCTACGTCATAGAGAATTTTTTTATTATTTCGTTGGGACTCCCAAAAGAATTAATCCACCATTTTCCAGACACCCGGATAAAAAAAAATAAATAATAAAGTTTTAACATATTTTTAAACATTCGTCAGTCAACATAATTTTCAAACATTTTGTTAACAAATTAAACATTTTAATAATCAAACTTTTTGGTCTTTCTTAACTTTTTATTTAAATTATTTACTTATTCTAAATATTTGGTGTCATCAGTCAGCCTCAATAATTACTTTCAGTTAACGGGTAACCTATAAAACTAATTTTGATCACATTCGTGCCAAATAAATCATCAATGTCTTCTGTAAGTCCTACACAGATTTCATGGACATATCCATAGCATAACCGACATAAATAAATGCATGACCATAATTTCTTCTGATTGGCAAACAAAACAATGCCAACGATCATTCAAGTTAGGATTTTTTGTAGAATCATTATCACTGGAACATCAACGTACGAAATATCCTGGTCACCATATTCAGTTTGTTTTGAATCTTGTTTAGTCTTTAGTATTTTCTTTCCTTTAGTTTTTCCTAGAACGTCCTTTTTTGTCGTCTTTTTGTTTTGGATTTTTTTAGTGCCTTGTTGAACCGCTACCGCGTCAATTCGTCGTGCACAATTCGTCGCGCGACAATTGATCGCAAACAACTGATCGCAGCGTCAATTGGTCGCAGCGACAACTGGTCGCAACGACAACTGGTCGCAGTCACAATTGATCGCAACACAATTCGTCGCAAGTACAACTGGTCGCATGCGACAATTGATCGCAGGCGAAAAATGATAGCGTTTATAGAGAAATAAGTAATTGTTATGAATGAGGAAAATAAATTAATGTGCTATATTCTCAAAAATTTCATTATTTCTAAAAAAAGTGTCAAAATAAATACATACGAGTTCCATAGTTCCATAAAAACGGTAACTATTAGGCTCATTTCCGACTAAACCAAAGTGCAAAAAAGTGAAAATATTGTAAAATATTTTTTTTAATGCTGACACATCTCGTCGGTATGCTACTGTAATGTTCATTTGGATTATTCGTCTTATTGATTAGACGCTCAAGTAAGTGATTCAAGCTTTTCTTCTCACAAGTTTAAAGTTTGTCATTAAACGAGTGAAAAAAATAGCTTTCAAAACGTGTTAGACGTCATTTTTCTTTAATAAAAAATGGTTTTAAAATTATTACAACTGTCAAATTAAAAAGTTATAGATAAATCGTGAAAAAACTCTCGTTACAGTTTTAAGTGAAAAAGTATTATTTTCATTACGTTTGATAGTTTAAAAAATTAAATATATATATTTTTTAATAAATTTGGTGCAAAGAAATTTGAATTTATATATTAACAATTAATCTTGGAGTTTATTGCATTCTTTGCAGACAATTTTTTGCTCACTACAAATTAGTTCTGGATTATCTTTAATCCATGATAAAACCAAAGATGTTTTTTCATTCAGAACTTTTTTGAACGCTCACA